CATTTTAGCCACTCTGACTGGCGTGAGGTGGTATCTCAGTGTGGTTTTGATTTGTATTTCCCTGATGAGGAGGGATGCTGAGCATCGTTTCATGTGTCTGTTGGCCATCTGGATGTCCTCTTTGGAGAAGTGTCTGTTCATATCTTCTGCCCATTTCTTCACTGGGTTGTTTGTTTTTCAGGTGTGGAGTTTGGTGAGTTCCTTATAGATTTTGGATATTAACCCTTTATCTGATATGTCATTTGCAGCTATCTTTTCCCATTCCGTTGGTTGCCTATTAGTTTTATGGATTGTTTCCTTTGCTGTGCAGAAGCTTTTAATCTTGATGAGGTCCCAACAGTTTATTTTTGCTCTTGATTCTTTTGCTTTTGGGGATGTGTGCATTAATATTCTTAAAACTGACCATGAGCACACTTAGTCCTCAGAAAGCACCTTCCCTAATCTGATACTCCTAACCTCCTAATCAAATTTTCACTTACATTTTTTGCCTATATATTTCTTTTCCCCCTTTAATCAAATGAAGCTTTAAGCACAAGCACCACACTTTGTTTATTCCTCCATGGATGGGTGGACATTAGAATCGTTTCCATTTTAGGCTATTGTGAATAAAGCTCCTATCGATATTCATGCACAAATATTTTTGTGACATGTACATTCATTTACTTTGGAAAAATGCCTATGAGTGGAATTGCTGGGTCTTATGGTAAATTTATGTGCAGCTCTTTAAGAAACTGCCATACTGATCTCTCCATGGTGGTTAGAATACCCTCTGGCAATTGTGTGACTTACAGTTGCTCCATGCTATTGCTAATATGTGGTCTTGTTAGTCTTTTTAACTTTTTCTTTTCTAAGGGATGAAAAGCAGTATATACTAGTGATTTAAACTGGATTTCTCGGGGCACCTGGGTGGCTCAGTCAGTTGAGAGTCTGACTTCGACTCAGGACATGATATGGATCGTGGGTTTGAGCCCCGTGTTGGACTCTGTGCTGACAGCTAGCTCAGAGCCTGGAGTCAGCTTCAGATTCTGTCTCTCTCTCTCTCTCTGACCCTCCCCTGCTCATGCTCTCTCTCTCTCTCTCTCTCTCTCAGAAATAAATAAAACATTTAAAAAATTAAAAAAAATAAACTGCATTTCTCTGATGACTAATAATGTTCAGCATCCTTTCATGGAGTCTTTGGTCATTTATATATCTTCTTTTGTGAAATGTCTGCTCAAATCTTTTGCCCACTTTTATTTGTTTATCTTCTTATGATTGAGTTGATATTCTGGACATCAGTCCTACGTTTTGCAAATATATTCTCCCAGTCTATGTCTTGCCTATTATTTTTTTAACTGTGTCTTTCAGAAAAAGAAGTTATTAATCTTAATGAGGTTCAATTTAATCATTTTTAAAATTTCATGCTTAGAACTCTTGATCATCTGAGAAATGTTTTACTACCCTAAGGTCACAAAATTACTTTCCTATATTTTCTTCAGAAAGTTCTCCTTGGGTCAGATATATAAATAATTGACTTTGACTAATAAATATAAATTGACTTTCTTCATTGAATTTTGGGTTTATTGGAAACAATCTAATATACATTGTTTTTCAAAAAGTGGCAAAATATATAAAACAAATTTACCACAGATACTACTGTAAGTTTTAAAGGTTGATTATATTTATTCATATCTCTAGCGCTTAAAATACCATTGCTTAGTTCTTCAATAAATATCTGTTAAATAAATGAATGAATTAGTTAATTAACAAATTTTTTACTCACCAATAGATGACCTCCTATCTTTTATCCCATTCTTCTTGTTCACTTTTTTATCAGCTGTAAAGTAAGTAACAACTAGGTCACAAAGGTAAATACTTATAGTGAATTTTATAATGTAATTTTATAATTATTATATTATATATTAATTTATATCTATAATTATATCATAATTATATTTTATAGTGCAATTTTATAATTACATTATTAATGTAAATACAGCAATTTAGGGATGTTGTATGTATTGGCCTAAATGCGATCTAATTTCATTCCAAATAAATATAAGGAATAGAAAAAAGAAAGCTATCAAGAATCAATGAAATTTGTTTCTGAGAGATAATGAATCAGTCACAAAATCAGACACTTTGAAATATATAATAAACAAAAAATCAGAATTCAAGTTTTACAGTATCTTTCAGAACTCAGAACGAGTTGCCTCTTAGAAGATGACGGAAAGATGACATATTCATCCTTCTGATGTAAAGAGGTAGGAGTATGCCATCTTTCTTTTCCTTGTTACCTAATAACACTTCTAGACAATAACTTTTGGTGGGCTGCCTCTTCCAATTGTGCAAACTCACCAAGAAAATGGGGGCCTGTGCTTAAGTCTATTGGGAGCCCTGGAAGGCAGCAAGACATACAGACTTTCCTGACAAACCAGTAAAGTAGAAATGGGAGCACTGATATCCCAGAAGGATGAGTCTGTGACAGCCATGAAATTTTCCACAGCCCCAGCATCACATAAAAGAATAGCAAAACATTTCCTGTGCCACAGTGAAAGGAACAGAGAGGTTAGTGAAATGAGCCAAAAGCTCAAAGCTCCTGACAGTGGAGATGAGGTGCATAACAACAAGGGCTAGTCCAGATAGCAAGATAAAATGCCAGATGAAAAGGGAGGTCATTCAGTGAATGCCACCATGAAGTGATAAAAATGAGGATCAGAGCAGACTTATTGTCATAATGACGGACACTTCTGTTTTTTGACTGCTGAACTACAGTAACCTACCTGGCTGAAGCTGCTCCTTCATATTCCTTTCTGTGCTCCACCACACCAGGTACATACCCTACGCACGAGTATTTCCATTCAGAATGCTTTTATTACCTGTCCCAGTCTATAAAGTCCATGTTAGGATGACTTCACGTCTATTCCCATTTCTCTGCAAACTAGGGGGTCTGGGACATGAGCAGTCATCTCCCCTGTACAATTCTATTTTTTATGGACTGATTCATTTAGTCCTGTTTCCTTCACATCCAGTTCCCTGTTGGTGTCAATTAGGCCTTTCCTCTTCCATGCTCCCCTTGCGTGTGGAACACTGTCTGGTCTTTGCTGTGGTTTCCATTGTTCACTCATCACCCTCCTTGGTCAATCTTGTGACAGTCTCAGGTATGATCATATCACCAAAAGGGGGAAGGCAAGATAAAGGCTTTTTTTTCACATTTTGATTTTTTTTAAACATTTATTCATTTTTGAGAGCTAGAGACAGAGCATGAGAGGGGGAGGGGCAGACAGAGAGGGAGACACAGAATCTCAAGAAGGCTCCAGGCTCTAAGCTGTCAGCACAGAGCCCAAAGCAGGGCTCGAAATCACCAACTGCCAGATCATGAACTGAGCTGAAGTCAGACACTTAACCGACTGAGCCACCCAGGCGCCCCTCACATTTTGTAATCATATAAAAATAGTAGACAAATTGCTTAATGGTTGGATTGTTCCATAATTTTCAACATTTTGGTTTTTTTAAATCATATTTGCAAGCTAAAGAATTTGTCAGTGTTTCTTTAACAATAATGCATCTTACTCCTATGCATAAAATGTTTTTCTATTTATAAGGTTGAAACTCCTGCCTCTTAACATTGTAAAAAAAAAAAAAAAAAACTTGTATTTTGTCAAATTTTTTCCTGCTTTGAACCATATAATAGCAGTGCAATGTAAAACTGTATTTGTTCTATAGAAATTCTTTTCTTCAGAGAAGCTCATTCTTCATAATGTCTTGATTCTGTTTTCAAAGTGCAGAATAGCATTTTAAAAAGGAGAAGGGAGGAAAGATAGGAAAAAAAAAGGTTAAGTAATAGAATGTTGTGTGCCAGGCCTTTCTTGATGGATTGGACCAGGTATACATGGTAATGGCGGCAGCTTAGGACGCTCCTGCACTGGAACAGTTCCCTGGGTTCTTGGACTTGCTCTGACCCTTAGGAAGTCTCCATTCTGTCTTCTGGGCACCTGGCCCTGGGAGGGTCAATGTGCTTTCCTGCTAGATTATAATCTTCTGAAAATCCCAAATAATGTCTCATTAAATTCTATATTCTCAGTACCTAGTATAATATATAGAATATTGTGGGAGCTTGGGGGCCCTGGGTGGATGGCTCAGTTGGTTAAGAGTCCAACTTCAGTTCTGGTCATGATCTTGTGGTTCATGAGTTCAAGCCCTGTGTCAGGCTCTTTGCTGACAGCTCAGAACCTGGAACTTGCCTCAGATTCTGTGTCTCCCTCTCTCTCTGCCCCTCCCTGGCTCATGCTCTGTCTCTGTCTCTCAAAAATAGGCAAACATTTAAAAAACTTTTTAAATAATAAAAAGAATACTATGGGATCTTAATGATGCTTTTTGAATCAGTGATATGACAGAACGGTTGCCAAAGTATTCCTATAAATATAAGTTTGGATCTAAAGTACTAACATAACAAATACATTTCCATCTTTCTTCTACACCTCCCAAATGAAACTTTTGGAAACCACAAAATTTATTCTCAAGGGAAAAAGCCTAAAGCATAACACTTAAGGTAATTTTTTATTACATCTATCATTTTCTATGGTTCTTTCTATGTGAATTTAATATCTAAGAAGTTTACATTAATAAAAGAACATGGAACCATGTGGACCATGTTTATGTCACCTTCAACTGACAGGTCCTTCAGAATCTTACACAGTTCTTTACCTGACATCTCCATCTTCACGTTTCCTAAAAAAGTGTCTAGGTTGCTGTCATCAACCTCACTGCCTAGGAAAAAAATAGAAGTGGTAAAAGCTATGAGAATGGAAATGCTAATGATTTTCAACTTAAGAAAAATACTTCCTATTATCTTCACATTGTTATATGTGAAGATAACACAAATATTACTCCATTTTGGTGAAAAAGAAGAGTCTTTTGACATGTATTCAGATGTAAACCTTAAGTTATTCTATCAGAAATGGAAACATGTTCTTTTGATCATTTTACAGAGAGTATGACTATAAGCACAGGAACATTTAGCCTAGTACAGCCCATATGATATTAGACAGGAAGTGTAACTTACTCACTGATACTGAGGGAACAGTTAGGAGTCAATATTTAAAATGTAGTAAATGCCAATGTTCATAGCAGCACTCTCAACAATAGCCAAAACATGGAAAGAGCCTAAGTGTCCATCAACGGACGAATGGATCAAGAAGATGTGGTTACCTATACAATGGAATACTACATGGCAATGAGAAAGAATGAAATCTGGCCATTTGTAGCCAGAGGGTGTTATGCTGAGCGAAATAAGTCAGGCAGAGAAGGACAGATACCATATGTTTGCATGTATCAGTGGATTAGGAGGAACTTAACGGAGGACCATGGGGGAGAAGGGGAAAGATAGTTGGGGAGAGGGAGGGAGGCAAATCATGAGAGACTCTTGAATGCTGAGAACAAACTGAGGGCTGAGGAGGGTGGGGAGGA